CAATTTTATTGGGGGCTTCTCTGGGCCCCCTCTCAGTCATGGGCCCCGAGAATCGTCATCGTTTACCCCCCCTTTACAGCGCCCCTGAATACAGGAGTTTTAAGTAGTTGAAGGAGTTTTCAGTTGCAATTCGATCAGAACATTTTACATTTTGTAATGACATCTTGACACAGGTTTTCCCCATTGAGCTACTGATAAAACACATTTTCAGTGACTCATTTTCTGTGCATTTTCTTTCCATGTAACAAACCAGGCTTGATCACAATCTCTCTCTTTTTAATGCAAACTTATTCACATGCGACAAAAACAATTTTTACTTTATATAAAATTCATAATTTATATATGAGTGTTTCCAGTCTGACCTGTTTCTCCGCCCATCCTGCAGCAGCTGAGACTGTATCATGGCCTCTGTGTTCAGCCATCGTACAGAGAAAACAGATACACTGCTGGTCGGTACGGCAGTAGATCTCCAGGGGTTTGTCATGGTGGGAACAGACCTTGTCCTTCAGATGACTGATGGCATCAATGAGCTTGTGTTGTTTTGCATGATGGAGTTTATTGTGAAGCTGCAGGTCAGTTTCACAGTAGGAGGCCTGACACACCAGGCAGGACTTGACAGCTTTGTGTTTTCTCCCAGTACAGACATCACACTCCACATCACCAGGTCCAGCATACTGGTCAGCAGGAGTAGCTGCTTGTAGTCCAGTCTTCTTCAGTTTCTCCACCATTTCAGCCAGTATGGTGTTTCTGCCCAGAACAGGTCTGGGTGTGAAGGTCTGTCTGCACTGGGGGCAGCGGTAAACTCCAGCATGAGCCTCCTGATTCCAGCAGCTCCTAATGCAGCTCATACAGTAACTGTGTCCACAGGGAATAGTCACTGGATCCTTCAGTAGATCCAGACATATTGGACAGCTGAACTCATTTACATCCACTGCAACTCTGGCTTCTGCCATTTTTCCACGAACACTGATAGGATTCAGTTTTGTTTCCTCTCACAGTCGTCTGTGTGTGAGAGTGGGAGGAACTTCCTGCTTCTCAGGCTGCAGTAGGTGTGGTTTTGGACTGAGGCCAGACTAAGAAGAGCAGGCTGGGCAAACAGTGGAGCTGGAGTTTATGAACTACCAGAACGTCATGGCTGCGAGGAAGACCATCCATCCTCTTCAACAGGCACTCTGTTTGTTCACAACTGACATGAGAAGGACGCCACTGAGAGTAAACTCATGAAAAGCAGCAGGACCAGACAGCATACTAATTGACCAGCAGAGGCTGTGAGGTTCTGGCTAGATATAGTCGGGCTCACCTCAACGCACGGCTTGGGCTCTGGAACCAGTCTCCTTGAGGGAGGTTGGACCCTCTTCCACTCTGGAGTTGCTCACGGGGAGAGGTGCCGAGCGGGGGTGGGCATACTTATTGCCCCCTGGCTGGGCGCCTGTACATTGGGGTTTACCGCAGTGGATGAGAGGGTAGCCTCCCTTCGCCTTCGGGTGGGGGGACGGGTCCTGACTGTTGATTGCGCTTATGTGCCAAATGGCAGTTCAGAATACCCACCCTTTTTGGAGTCCTTGGAAGGGGTGTTGGAGAGCACTCCTCCTGGGGACTCTCTTGTTCTGCCTTGGGACTTCAATGCTCACGTGGGCAATGACAGTGAGACCTGGAGTGGCGTGATTGGGAGGAACGCCCCCCCCAGTCTGAACCCGAGTGGTGCTTTGTTGTTGGACTTCTGTGTTCGTCATGGATTGTCCATAATGAACACCATGTTCAGGCATAAGGGTGTCCAAATGTGCACTTTCAACTCATACCTCTGGCAGAACTTCTCCCATGTCCTGGGGGAGGCAGGGGACATTGAGTCCGAATGGGTCATGTTCCGCCCCTCCATTGTGGAGGCGGCTGACCGTAAGGTGGTCGGTGCGGCAATCCCCGAACCCACTGGAGCACACCAGTGGTGAGGGATGCCGTCAAGTTGAAGAAGGAGTCCTATCGGGCTTTTTTAGCCTGTGGGACTCCAGAGGCAGCTGACAGGTACCTGCAGGGTAAGCGGGATGTGGCTTTGGCGGTCGCTGAGGCAAAAACTTGGGTTTGGGAGGAATTTGGAGAGGCCATGGAAAACGACTTCCAGATGGCTTCAAGACGATTCTGGTCCACTATCCAGCGGCTCAGGATGGGAAAGCGGTGCAACATCAACACTGTTTATGGTGGGAATGGGGTGCTACTGACCTCAACTCGGGATGTTTTGGGTCGGTGGAGGGAGTGCTTCGAAGACCTCCTCAATCCCAACGTCACGCCTTCCAATGTGGAAGCAGAGTATGGGGACTTGGGTGTGGACTCCCCTATCTCTGGGGCCGAGGTCACTGAGGTGGTTAGAAAGCTCCTCGGTGGCTGGGCCCGGGGGTGGATGAGATCCGCCCGGAGTTCCTTAAGGCTCTGGATGCTGTGGGGCTGTCCTGGCTGACACACATCTGCAGCATTGCGTGGACATCGGGGGCAGTGCCTCTGGACTGGCAGACCGGGGTGGTGGTCCCCCTCTTTAAGAAGGGGGACCAGAGGGTGTGTTCCAACTATAGGGGGATCACACTCCTCAGCCTCCCTGGTAAGGTCTATTCGGGGGTTCTGGAGAGGAGGGTCCGCTGGATTATCGAACCTCGGATTCAGGAGCAGTGTGGTTTTCGCCCCGGCCGTGGAACAGTGGATCAGCTCTATACGCTCCGCAGGGTTTTAGAGGGTTCATGGGAGTTTGCCCAACCAGTCTACATGTGTTTTGTGGACTTGGAGAAGGCATTCGACCATGTCCTCCGGGGAGTCCTGTGGGAGGTGCTCTGGGAGTATGGAGTGCCAGTGTTCTGACAAAACATCCTACCTATCGAGACATGCTATCGAGCCTTTCTGCGCATGTGCAGTTCCACCGTCTTGGGATTAGGGTTAGGTTTTAGGGGTTAGGGTTAGGGTTAAGGTAAGGGTTTTAGGGGGTTTTGGGGGGTTACTTAACAGTAGGATGTTTTGATAAAGTAGGACGTTTTGTCAGAACACCGGGCTTCCTTTTAATGGCTGTCCGGTCCCTCACTGGGACAGTTTTCAGCTGAGTGTGAAGTGGCTGGGATGAGAATCAGCACCTCCAAATCCTAGACCATGGTCCTCAGCCGGAAAAGGGTAGAATGCTCTCTCCGGGTCGGGGATGGGGTCCTCCGCTGCTCCTCCGCATTGAGAGGAGCCAGATGAGGTGGCTCGGGCATCTGATCAGGATGCCTCCTGGACGCCTCCCTGGTGAGGTGTTCCGGGCATGTCCCACTGGGAGGAGGCCCCGGGGAAGACCCAGGACACGCTGGAGGGACTATGTCTCTTGGCTGGCCTAGGAACGCCTCGGGATTCCCCCAGAGGAGCTGGATGAAGTGGCCGGGGAGAGGGAAGTCTGGGTTTCCCTGCTTAGACTGCTGCCCCCGCGACCCGACCTTGGATTCAGTGGGAGATAATAAATGGATGGATGGAATACACAGAGATGATACTGGCCCTCTGCACACAAACACATTTTAGTTTTACCACTGACACACAAAGAGTCACAGAGCTGTACAGAACTCCAATTCTATTTTTCAGAACAGGAAGTGTTGCATTTCATCTTTCCCAGTGTCCCAACACATTCACATGTCCTGCTCGAACCTGGGGCCAGAGCCTGGACCCTCCTTTATATCAGACCTGAATGAGCCATGCCTCTGAGCTCTCTGCCTTTTTTCCAACTATCCCTGACAAAATTCCTATTCTTTATCCATCCATCCATCTTCCAGCTGCTTATAGGGTGTCCAGTCAAGGTTAGCCTGGCACCAATCGCAGGAAGCAAGCGGATAAGGCGGCGGACACCCTGGGGTGGATGTCCATCCATCACTGGGTGATCACTCACAGTCTGGGTGATCACTCACAGTATAGCCAAAGAAGTGAGAACAATTAGTCTAAGTGCACAGAGCAGGAGCAGTGTGTGGAAAAAGGTGTCTCTCCTTTTCACTCTCTCCTTTAGGCTGGCAGGTATCAAACCTGTGTGAACAGCAGCTGAGGCAGCCAACTGGAGACCAGCAGGGTCTGATCTCCCAGACACTCTTCCTGGAAGGCAGGTCGACTGTGAGACCGGTTTTCATGAGCTATACAATAGGGATGAGCACTAATCAAAAGCTTTGCAGGTAACTAGGTAACTTAAGTCTGAAAGAATGACCATGTGGGTCAGGAAGGGTCTCAAACAGGGATGATTCTGGGATTTTTACAGTTTGGGTACAGAGGAGCAGGTCAGTGGATGGTGCTCTCTCTCTCTCTCTCTCTCTCTCTCTCATCCTCAGCCATGAACACCTGGAGATGTGGAGCACCTCTGCCAGGATGTTTCCCATCGACTTCAGCTCAGCCTTCAGCACCATCGCCCACAGAGCACTGAGGCATATTAAAGGAACAGACAATCTGATATGCAGAGAATTCACTTCCCATGTCAGACCCTCCAAATGCCTGTTGAGCCACTTTTGCTGATTTGGTTTCCTGTTTAATCCTGACAATGTTTAGTCAGTGACTTCTGTTGATCTGAAACGTTGACATTTTACTGCTTTACATGACACCACTGAGATTGTATGACATGTATCAGATATATCTGAACAGTGTCAGCTAACAGAGCTGACTTTCACAGAATCCATGTCATTTTTATTTTCACTAATCTTGATTCTAAAATATACACACATGGATACTTTGTGGGTCTTGTGGTTTAGTTCATAATGTCTTGTGATGTCTTGGTCCAAAGTCCACAGTCCGCTGATGCAAGGAGAGATACAATCAACACGTGTTGGGTATAAACCTCCATCCATGTTTGATACCCACCTTATACAGATCAGGGAGCCAATTCCAGGAAGCACAGGGCACAGGTTTGTATGTATTTATATAATGGCAACATAGTTGATAGTCAGAGTAAGAAATCAATGTAAAATGCTGAAAGGTTATATTAATTCATTGGTTTTCCCAAATGATAACAGAGTAAAATACAGAAATGATTTAAGAAATCCAGCATCATCCGTGATGAAGCAATCTTTGTTTCGTACAGATATTCATACAAATATTTAATAAATAACTGATGAATTTATAGTTATTTTAATATCCATAAGAAGTATAAATTACAGCATTAAAAATTATTCTTTTACAAAAATAATGATTTAAATTTGACAGAAGGAATCATTGTAGACTTTATGCTAAACTTGTAACTGTTATTACAAGATTATAAGAAATAAACACAGACACATATACAGGTGGGATCGAGGTTCGAGGTCACTGCACAGAAACTTCACGTAAAAACTTTCTATTTTGATGTCATTTCCACTTATAAATGGGCAAAATGCATAATTTACAAGACATCTGTAGAATCGTTCTTTTATGGTATTTATTTTTAAATTCATTATTTCCACTTTTCACATAAAAGATTAAATATACCAGATTTAAAGAGATGTTAGAGATTTTATTTCAATATTAGTCTAAATACTAGAACTCGTGGCCATAAGTGGAAATTAGCGGGAAAACATTTTAAAACAAATTTGAGGAAGCACTTCTTTACAGAGCGTGTAGTTAGAGTATGGAATAGTCTTCCTGCTAGTGTAGCGGAAGCTAAAACCATGGGTTCCTTTAAATCAGAGCTAGATAAGATTTTAACAACTCTGAGCTATTAGTTAAGTTTCCCCCAAACGAGCTTGATGGGCCGAATGGCCTCCTCTCGTTTGTAAATTTCTTATGTTCTTATGTTAGTTAGCTTACTTAGCACAGCTTGGCTGCACTGTACCAAAGTAAAAACCCAGGATAGAGGGGCTCAGTGAATGTGGCCTGGACCCTGTGCAGGAAGGTCAGTGTGTCAGAGACGCTGTAGAAGGACAGAGTTCCTGCCCTGTGATCCAGGTACACTCCTATCCTGGGGGAGGGGGGGGCAGATACTGCAGTTTCCTCATTATTGTGCCAGAATGAGTAACTGGAGGTTGAGCAGGACAAACACCAGGACTTGTCATTGTATCCAAGCCTGCTGTCATAACCCCCTCCTTTCCTGCTGATCCCTTTATATGTGACACCTATTGCGACCACAGTCCCACTCCAGTCAACCTCCCAGTAGCAGCGCCCAGTCAGACCCTCTGTACACAGCATTTGGTAGCTTAAGAACATTAAGTCAAACCTCTGCTGGTGATCAGGATATGACTGTGTCTCTCTCTTCCATGTCACCACTCTGTTCCCCTCAGACAGATGGAGGTTATTGTTTGCTGTGTTGGGGTCCAGAGTGAGCCGACAGGAATCTGATGGAGGAGAAGGTCAGGAGGTGATTTTTTTGGTCTCATTATATTACTGAAGTTTGTGCACATTTTTGCTATGTCTAAACGCTTTGAAAAGAATTTTCAAAAGTAAAAGTATATATAAATAAATATATGTTTAGTGTTTCATGTTTATAAGTACCCCTCCTGGAGCCGACACCTTATCGTGGTGGAGGGGTTTGTGTGTCCCAGTGATCCCCGGAGCTAAATTGCCTGGGGATTAATGCCCCTGGTAGGGTCACCCAAGGCAAACAGGTCCTGGGTGAGGAACCAGAGGAAGTGCGGCTCATTATACCCCTTATGATGACAAACAACATAGATTGACGTTTTCCCTTGTCTGGATGCAGGTCACCGGGGCCCCCCCTTGGAGCCAGGCCTGGGGGTAGGGCTTGATGGCAAGTGCCTGGTGGCCAGGCCTGCACCCATGGGGCCTGGTTGGGCACAGCCCAAAGAAGGAACATGGGTCCTCCCTCCAATGATCTCACCAAGGGGGTCAGGTGCATTGTGAGTTAGGTGGTAACCAAAGGCGGGGACCTTGATGGTCCAATCCTCGGCTGCAGAAGCTAGATCTAGGGACATGGAATGTCACTTTTCTGGCAGGTAAGGAGCCTGAGCTGGTGCACAAGGTTGTAAGGTTCCGACTAGATATAGTCGGGTTCACCTCGACACACGGCTTGGGCTCTGGAACCTGTTTCCTTGAGGGGGGTTGGACCCTAGATTTGGACCCTGGAGTTGCTCGCAGGGAGATGCGCCAAGCAGGGGTAGGCATACTTATTGTGCCCTGGCTGGGCGTCTGTACATTGGGGTTAACCGTGGTGGACGAGAGGGTAACCTCCCTTTGCCTTTGGGTGGGTGGAGGGGTTCTGACTGTTGATTGCGCTTATAGGCCAAGCAGCAGTTCAGAATGCCCACCCTTTTTGGAGTCCTTGGAAGGGGTGTTGGAGAGCGCTTCTCCTGGGGACTCTCTCATTCTACTAGGGGACTTCAATACTCACGTGGGCAATGGAGTGGCGTGATTGGGAGGAACAGCCCCCCAAATATGAACCTGAGTGGTGTTTTGTTATTGGACTTCAGTGCTCATCACGGATTGTCCATAATGAACACTATGTTCAAACATAAAGGTCTCCATATGTGCACTTGGCACCAGGACACCCTAGGCTGCAGTTTAATGATCGACTTTATGGTCGTGTCATCGGACTTGCGGCCACATGTATTGGACACTTGGGTGAGGAGAGGGGCGGAGCTGTCAACCGATCACCACCTGGTGCTGGGTTGGCTCCCCTGTAGGGAGGAAGCCGGTCAGACCTGGCAGACCCAAGCGTATAGTGCGGGTCTGCTGGGAATGCCTGGCGGAATCCCCTGTCAGAGGGAGTTTCAACTCCTACCTCCGGCAGAACTTCTCCCATGTTCCAGGGGAGGCGGGGGACATCGAGTCCGAATGGGCCATGTTCCGCGCCTCCATTGGGGAGGCGGCTGACCGGAGCTGTGGCCATAATGTGGTTGGTACCTGTCACGATGGCAATCCCCGAACCCACTGGTGGACACCGGCGGTGAGGGATGCCATTAAGCTGAATAAGCAGTCCTATCAGGCCTTTTTTGCCTACTCCAGAGGCAGCTGATAACTACCGGTAGGCAAAGCGGAATGCTGCTTTGGCGGTCGGTGAGGCAAAAACTCAGGTGTGGGAGGTGTTTGGCGAGGCCATGGAGAACGACTTCTGGATGGCTTCGAAGAGATTCTGGTCCACCATCCGGCGGCTCAGGGCAGGAAAGCAGTGCAGCATCAACACTGTTTATGGTGTTGGTCGAGGTAGTTATAAAGCTCCTCGGTGACTGGGCCCTATGGGTGGATGAGATCCTCCCAGAGTTCCTCAAGGCTCTGGATGCTGTGGGGCTGTCCTGGTTGACATGCATCTACAGCATCGCGTGGACATCGGGGGCAGTGCCTCTGGACTGGCAGACCAGGGTGGTGGTCCCCCTCTTTAAGAAGGGGGACCAGAGGGTGTGCTCCAGCCTCCCTGGTAAGGTCTATTTGGGGTTCTGGAAAGAACTGCCCTTTGTCACCGATACCTTAGAGATAGGGTGAGGAGCTCAGTCATTCGGGAGAGACTCAGAGCAGAGCTGCTGCTCCTCCGCATTGAGAGGAGCCAAATGAGGTGCCTCGGGCATCTGGTCAGGATGCCTCCTGGATGCCTCCCTGCTGAGGTGTTCCGGGCATGTCCCACTGGGAGGAGACCCCGGGGAAGACCCAGGATACGCTGGAGAGACTATGCCTCTCGGCTGGCCTGGGAATGCCTCAGGATTCCCCCGGAGTAGGTTGCCGAAGTGGCAGTGGCCGGGGAGAGGGAAGTCTGGGTTTCCCTGCTTAGGCTGTTGCCCCCACAACCCAATCCGGGAAAGCAGTAGAAGATGGATGGAAGGATGTTTATAAGGTCATATTCGCAACCGGGATGCCTCAGAGAACAACATGACAAGCAAAATAATATTAAACATCAGCAGCCACATTGCAAACAGATTCAAAGGCTCCTGATATAAACAGCTCATGTAAATGTAAAAGACCAGGAGGCAGCGGGAGAGAGAAAGAGAAGCTCCACTAGCAGGAGAAAACGAACCACAATAAAACACACTCCACCTCATACAGGGAGAGAGAAGCGTGTGTGTGAACAGACTCACATTGTAAGAATTCTGCTCTGGTCCTGGGCACTAATACCGGTAGGACGGTGTCTTTGGTAACTGGAAAGAGACAGAGAGAAACAGGGATGTGAGTAAAAGGAATTTACTTGTGGCAGATGGACGTCACTCACTGTGGAGACACCAGAACTAGGGTATTAACATTATGAGGGCATTTTAAAAATGTAATAATCATTCTGAGTGAAACACAATACAAATTTCTCAAGGATTTAAAATTATATAATTTTCCAGTAATATAATTCTTACTACTGTTTTCTGAAAGATTAAATCATACTGGAAACGTAAACTTACTTGGTCACAAAAATGTGAGGCTGACTGTACTGTATGCTCTCTCTGTATGGTCTGTACAGAACATACAGGAATATGTATTTATTTATTAACCTGTGTGATTGATCTCTGTCATTTTCTTTTTGCAAACATTCTTCAGTCGATCCTTCGGTTCAGAAACCACCTTCTTCACATTCTCAAAAGAGCAGCGTGGACTGACAGAGAATCTGGGACCAAATCCAGCTTCAGCGGTGACAGTCAGACCCTGGTACCTCTACAGATACACAGTCTGAGTAAACAGCTTCATAAAAACAGATGTGTACTGCAATCAAACTAAATTGAACATTAATTTCTGACAAAGGACAAAAGTTGAAATACAAATGAGAACATACATCCATCTGAACACTCTGATTTTCTTATTGCCAAAGTAGCTGTTCTGTTACCTGGAGGAAATGGATGTGATCCTCTGTGTGTGAATGCTGCTCCAGCTCAGAGTGTCTCCTCCTTAGTTCATCAATCTCCTGCTTCAGTCTCTCCATGTCTCCTTCAGCCTCACTCATTGTATCCTTTTCCTGATCTCTGATCAGCTTTGTCACTTCAGAGTACCTCTTCTCAATGGAGCGGATCATCTCAGTGAAGATCCTCTTGTTGTCCTCCACTGCTGACTGTGCTGAGCTCTGTTGGTGACACAGGGAGCAGAGGATGGTAAATTACAATTGGCCCCTTTTCAGACTCCAGAGAGCCTCATATTTCAATAGTGATGTGAGCTGACAGTGTGGAAGTAAAATTGGACATTAGTAGGCCCAGGAGGGGAGGCATATTGGGTCTGTTATGTCTTAGGCCTTAGGCCAGAAGAAATTGTTTTGAATACTATGTGACCTCGCTTTGTGATAGCTGCCTGCAGTTGGCTCCGCAGAAGCTCGGACCTTGGAGGGGCAGACAGTGGAGCAAAGGGGGGGAGAAACCACTTGC